GATGAAAAGTCAGACACAGTCCATGCCCCTGAAGGTGTGCAGTCCTACAGGGAAGATAGTAAAGAAAGACAGTGACATGTCAGGTTGCAATTCTGCTAACACTCCTACTTACATCACATTATAACATACACTAAGGTCAATGAACACTCTTAACATGTTTTTGAAGAAAAAAACCAAAAAATTAACTACTCAAATACATAGATGATCATAATTTTACTTAAGCCCAAGACTGAGAGGTAAGAGATTCCCCAAGACTGACTTTAAGACTCATGGTCACAGGGCCTTTCACAATAAGCAGCTCCTAATATTGATGTGATTCTTGCATTACAATATGCAAATTCTTCTCCAACAGTCTCTGAATAACAAACCAAATACTTCATGTAGCAGTCAGAGGAAAAGTAATCTATTCTAGACACAGAATACTGGATGTATTGAAACTGTTACTCTCTACTGTGTTAACTTCCTAATGCATTTTTTTAAGTAAATTTGAGTATTAAGTAATTTTTGCCCGCCCCACTGACCTTAGAATTTAAGACAGAAGTTCTTTGTAACTGCAACTCTAATGTTAACTGGCTTTCAATTACTAGAACCATTCTTACCAGAATTATAAAAAACTTGGTCTCCTCAGTTAGCCAGTTGAAATTCAAACCTTAATTCCTAGCAAATACTAGTCCTGTGACCTTGGGCAGGTTCCTTAACCCTTCTGTACTTTGGTTTCCTCATACATAAATTGGGAATAATAGTGACTTTACCATTTAGGGTTCTTGTAAGGATTATATGAGATCACATAAAATGTGTGGCAGGAGGCTTGGCAAGTGCTCAATAAACATTAGTTATATTAGATTCCACCTCACCCCAAAATAGATTTAAGGCAATTTCACTTATATATTCTCAATAAATATATAAGTAAGTGAACCAAAGGATTATTACTGTGGCATTCAGACTACCACTGGTAAACTTATTTCCAAGGGACTGGCTTGACTGAGTAAATTGAAGTAATTGTGTATGTTACATTGCTGTTACCAATAACTCATGTTTGCTAATAAAACTAACTTTCTTTTCTTCTCTCTCTTTCTTTCCTTCTCCAATCTAATCTAAAAGCAACTGTGGAACAATGAGATTAAAATAAAATGGTTCCCCATACCTAAAATGTAAGTGACCTTGAAAATCATGATTGCAATGATACATCCAAGATTAGAAACTCTAAAATTTCCATCTTCATACAAAAATGAACCATCAAACGAGTTACCTTTCAGCAAATAAATTATTTCTAATTGTTTCAACAAAAGTGCTTTATTTGTGTGCACTGTGCAGATAAGCCTAACACTGCAACTCTGTCTTTTAAATGTAAAACAGAAGGTAGAGTGGTTCAAGTAATACAGTGCCAGTCTAGCAAGTGAGAGGCCCTGAGTTCAAACCCCAGAATCACAAAAAAACCCTTCTAAATCACATTTATAGTTTATATTAGGGGAAAAAAATCATGTAATTGGTAAGATTCTTAGTAACATTACCTATCATAATAGCTTCTCTGGTCTAGCAACATTTAAGAAGCAGTAGCTTAGTTTTATCTCCTGCAGACTGGTTATATTAGGTAAACATGCAATTTTTATTCAAGATTCAAATAACATCAGGACACACTTTAAAAAGTAAGCTTAGAAATTAGCAAAGACATAATTCATTATAAAAACTGAGATTACAGAATTTCAAGCCAAATATCCTTAAACACTTTTGGACAATCTCTTGTGGGAGAGTGAATCAGTAAATCCACAAAAGTAACTGGCTACAGAAACTCAAGACTGATGAATGTATTTCACTCCATTAGTGTGGTATTGTGAAAAATTACAGAATGTTTTCAAGACCAAAAGTAAACCTAATATATTCCTGAAATTGTTTTTGCATATTTTTTAAATGATGACATTTTACTTCTCTAAGTATTTACCTTTAAAGCAAGTAAGATATTGCCTTAAGCCCAAATTACAAGCTCCTGTGAAATAAGAACTAATTTTCCAAAGTCTCCACCTCTGACTCAAGCGATCCTAAAGGAAAATTCACTGAAAGTATTGCTAAAAACAAAAAGAAAGGAAAAAGCAGGGTGACAGATCTGGATTCAAACCTTGGTTCCAATACTTATCTTTTCCCTCAGTTCTTGTAATTTAACAAGTAAATTTCTTATATCCTTGGTGTTCTCAGCTATAAAGAGTAAATGTTACTACTACCTAAATAACTGTTTTGAGAACAAAAATGAGATAATAAGAGAGAAGAATGGTGAGTCCATTCTTCATCCATGTCTATATTTTGTTATAATGAACACAGCCTGCCAAAAAGCAGGACAGGAACAAGGTCTCCAAAATGCTCTATTATACAGAAATTTTGCTACAAATGGAAATGACTCCTTTATATTTCCACAAAGGTAAGTATTTATCTGGATTTTAGAAATCTTCAAGAAAGAATAAGCCAGGTGCCCGGTGGGGCTCACGCCCATAATCCTAGCTACTCAGGAGGCAGAGATCAGGAGGCTCTTGGTTTGAAGCCAGCCTGGGCCAATAGTTCATGAGACCCTATCTCAAAAAAACCCTTCAGACACAAAAAAATAGGGCTGGTGGAGTGGTTCAAGGTGAAGGCCCTGAGCTCAAGCCCCAGTGCCACAAAAAAAAAAAAAAAAAAAGAAAGAATAAAACATCTTTCTGCAAGCTATATTAAGCTCCTGGCATTAACTCCTTTGTATCTAACCTAAATTTTCTAAACTTTAGTTCATTCGAAAAGTTCATTTTTTTTTTCATTAATTGGCCATGAGGGAAGCATATCTGTTTTATTAAATGTATTTCTGTCCCTAGCAGAGTGCTGGAGGCACTATGCATGAACGTACTCATTCATTCAGCAAATATTTACTGAACAGTTACACTGTGCCAGGTGGTATAAAGTAGTGGGGTAAGACACATGACAAACGAGAAGGCCTTGCTCAGGAAACTTTTAGTGAAGAAGACAAATATTTATCAAATAAATGTAGAAATAATTAAATTCCTATTGTGATGATGGTAAAAGGAACACAGAGTATAGGGAAGAAATAGTGGGAACTTCCTCTGGTTTTGGGAAGGAGAAACCCAGGGAAAGCGCCTCGAGGTACAACCTTTAAACTAAGACTTAAAATCTGAGTGAGTTTAGTCAGATTTGAGAAAGGGAGGAGAAAACAGACCAGGCAGAAAGACAGTCCATAAGATAAAATACAAAAAGGTCCCTCTGTCAGGAAGAAGTTTATGCATATAATAACTGAAAGGCAAGATAAATGAAAAATGCTGGAGATAAGGAGGGAGAGCTATGTAGGAGACAAAAGAGAAATTAGCAAAATTAAACAGAGTAAGAGGGTAATAATAACTAAGTATGTAAGCATCAGTCTTTTTCTTGCATAAAATAAATGATCTAAGGGAATTAAGGTTTTACTTCATATTATTAAGCAACTGTAGTCTGAGACCCGGATTATAACTTGGTCCCAACAGTTACAAGTTACATGTTCTTGGGCAAGTCACTTAACCTGTATGAGCCTCTTCCATTCTTTGTAAACAGGTACTCAATTATCCTACCTATGGATGACAATTATAAATAAGCCCTTGTTCTTATACACTTTATATACTTAAGAGACTTAGGAGGACTTATATGTCCTAAGTCCTCCAAAAGCTGACAGAAGGCCCCTGATAAGAACAAATGTGGATGTTGGTAGGTGGCAATCTACAATAAAAACACAAGTGTATACATTATTCAGTGAACTCTAGCATGTGATCAAAAGACAATAAATACAGTAGAAACATCACTCAGCCATCCCAAATATATGAAATAATAGAAACTATAATGGACCTCACAGATTAAGAGAACTTCATGGTAACAGGACTGAACCAAAGACAGAAACTAACATATGTAGAACAAGTACTCTATGTTAATTTTACTTCTTTTCAAATTTTCCTCTTAGTTCAAAAGACTTTCCATAACAATATAACTTCATGACAGTTAGAAGAACTTGTTTCTTACTGCCTACACTGTCATCTAGAAAACACATTAACATTCTTTGCCTCACTGATTTATATCCAGTTTATGGCCTATCCAAACTACTGTACACTTTTAGTCTAGTCCAAAGTCAGTTATCCCCCCATAATTTTTCCATTTCTTTAGTTGTTTCTTTCTTACCTGTATACTACTTTACCTATGGTGTTATATTATTCTCGATTTTACTTCATTCTAAAGTATCATACTTTTCCTTCTACTTTAAAATTGATATTAAACCTCAATCATATTAACTTCAACCAGAGGAGTAAAATGCCTCTAATCCTGGAAAATGTTTTTGCATTTAAAACTTAAGCAAATTGTTAACAACATTATTTTCAGAGTGCACCCCAAACATAGCATATGAAGGAAAAGTAAAAAGCTCAAACAAAAAATGCAACAAGAAATGCAACATACCTTCTTTTTAAGTAATAAGCATAAGAAGCGCTCCTTGATGCTCCATTTGAAAAAAAAAGTGCCAAGTGAGCTTTATGAAAGAATTCCAACCCTACTGATCTCGTTTTTACAAAATGAAAGGTAGGAAGGGAAAAGAATATTCTTAGTGTTAAACATTATACTTAAAAATGATGTGGAAGGAGTTTATCAATTAATATGACCCGAATAAAATGGAAAAGAAAAATCTAAGTTGAAGCTGATCCTTTCTATTTTTCTTAAATACCTTTACTTTACAACTTTTTTCTTTACCTTTACTTTACAACTTCCTCCGCTCTGTGGAAAAAACACAACCCACCTCCCTTCTCTTTCTTTCTCAGGCGGCAGCTCTCTGGTTGAGATCCTGGACTTTAATAATTGTCCCTTGGGTGTGTGACCTTGGGCACATCATTTTTTTCCCTCAGTTTCCTCATCAGCATCCTAAAGTGAAAGCGCTTTGAAAACTGTTCAGAAGTAAACACATCCTAAGTGCTACAGCTAAAAGGGTCAAGCCTTTCTGGTTAGGAAAAAATTACCTTCTTACAGAAGACACATCAGAAAACTAGAACTGGATCCGTGGATCTGTCAACATTTGGCTCTTCCCGCTTCAACTCACCTCGTCCCTCAAAGGGCATAACCCGAGTCACCCCCAAGAGCAAACTCCCTAGCACCCCTCCCTTACCCCACTCCTTCCCCAGCTGACTTATAAAGCACGGGAAAAACAGCAGCCTCACCTCTCCGCCCCCAGCCACACCTTTGGAGGACCCCGCCCCAAGCACATCCGCCCTCTCCCCTCTCGGGGACACCGGAGGCCAACCTCGCCCTTCCCCTCCGCCCCCATCGACAGCAGACTTCCTGGAGGCGTCCAGGCCCGGGCCGAGCAGGCGGCATTTACAAACCCGCTTTACGCCACACGCGTAGGGTTAACCTCGCTTACGCCCATAGGGCCCCACTCCCAGCCCCGTCCGCTCCGCCTGCCGGCACCAAGCCCGAGGACTCCAGCCACGGTGCCCGGGTGACCCCAGAGCTCTTTTGCTCCTTGCGGAGCTAGGAGCGAAAGGAACAGAAAATGCACATCTTACCGGCAACTGAGGGACTGACTTCACTTCCCACCTTTGGAGCCCTCTTCAACTCCCGGATCAATTCACTCCGGCGACGCCGGAAGGACCCGAGAGGAACCAGGCGTTGTCCGGAATCCTGCCCAGCCGGAGTCGCGCAGGGCTCTATGGGGACTCGTAGTCTCATTCGCCAGGGTTGTCGACAATTCCTGCCGTCGCGAGACTACACTTCCCGGCAGGCCGTGCGAGGAAGCCTAAGGCGATGGGTGGGGACACTTCTAGCCAATGGTAAAAGAGTTCCCTGCTTTTGCGGGAGGAGTTGAGATGAAGAGAGACTGAGCACGGAAAGGAGAAGAAGGGCGGAGCCAGATCTCACCTGCACCAATCAGAGCGGCGCAGGGTCGGTTCGCAGCCGCCTCACCCATACAGGGCGGAGGCAATGGAGCCGAGGAAGGAAGAGGGTGGGGGTCCGACGTGGGAATGTAGGGTCTCTGGGCTGAAAGGATGTCTCAAGGGAACTGCTGGGTAGATGGAGAATGAGTTGTGGGGACCCACCCCGGCCGCAGGAGCAGCTTTCCCAAGAGCAGCCAAGCTCCATTTACACGGGAAACCAGACCCGCAGGTTGGGTGGGGATTAAGCTGAGCTTGAGCTTCCTGCTGAGGCGCGCGAGTGAGGCGGGCAGGTGTAATGTCCCCGAGTGAGGAGAGAAGGGGTGGGGGGGCCCAGGGAAAGAGAAGAGGCGGCGCAGCTGCGGACGTGCCGTTTGCTGGAAGGTACTCCAGCCTGGTTCCCGCCGCCTCCAGCCTGGGCAGCTGCGGGGACAGCACGGGGAGGAGCAGCAGCTGCCCGATTGGCCAACTAGAGGAGGGGGCGGAGCTTGAGTCGGGTGGAAGCCGAGGCGCAGGCTGGACTGTAGTTTCCCCGGAGAGACCGAGCAGGAACGGAGCGCAGTGGAGCGCAGTCTTCCGAGCATCAGCTCTGGCATCCGCCCGGGTGGCAGGTGTGTGGGAGGTAAGCGTGGTGCCTCTGCCCAGCATCCGCGCGCTGCCCGGGAGAACGCACTTTCCCATAGGAATATCGAGGCAGAGCTGAAAGCGTCCGTCTCCGGTAGGAAGCCAGCGCAATAGCTTTCGGGTGAAGGATATACATTTTTTAGACTTTGAGGGGTAAGAGAGCAAAAGGTAGCTTGACCCTGGGTACAAAGGGCGTGGTTAGTGATTTTGGTTGGAGTTGCACCATTTAAACTGCCCTGGGAGATGTCAAGATTGAAGGAAACCCTGCTAATTGAGACAAGGTGGGTGGTATCTGGATGGGTGCGTAGCTGATAACAAGCAGTTTTTTAAATTTGATAGAGAATTTCTTAACTATTTCACTAGGAAAATAACTTCGCGTTTTTCTTCAGTGTCTACCCTTTGCGTTGCTTTATCAGATTGTCCTGCTACCGACCTGTTATCCAGGACGATTGTATTGCAGCTTCCTAGAATCGAGAGACCTGGATTAAAGAAGCAATTGTAAGCAAGGATAGTCAGGATAGGATGGGTTCTGACGAACCTATCAGAAGTATAACTTTTGCCAGCAATAACGTGAAATATATTCTAATGGAGAGATACTTAGCTTTCTTTCCAGTGACTCTAGAATATTGAAACAAAGACCTGGACTCAGCTTACAATAGGAACATATGATGTACTTCATTGCTGCTCTTTATTCTCTCATTTGTGTCCGGATACATTTGTATATTAAAAGAAAGAAAGAAAGAAAGAAAACAAGAGGACAAGAAAAGCTGTGTGGAGATCTTTTCTCTGTTTAGAGAGTATGTGTAATATGATTGTCCTTAGTACGCGTGTTACAGTGGGTTCAGATTTTAAGTACATGTAGTGTCATAAAATAATAGTTTATTTTCAGCATTCAACCATGTGTATATTAAATGTAATTATAATACCTGTGGATGGCTATATGTTTTAATACGAGGTGAAGATGAATGTCATACGTAGCTCTCTGAAACGGACAAAATTACAGCCTTTTCTTAGAAAAGTGGTAAGAATCCATTTGCCTAGTTCATTTTCATTTTTTGTTACAGAGTTCACCACACTTATGTGTCTTCTCATCGTAGCAGCGGTATTGCAGCATGTTGTGCTCTGAAATGCCCATTATGACAAATGAGTCAGACTACTTCAGATTTTTAAACTAGTCTCAATAAAATGTAGTAATTGAATTCTGTTTTCTTCTATTGTCATGTTTTCTTAATTTACTAAGATTTTGCATTTGGTTTTTCTTATGTACACAATTCCTTTTTAAGAAGAAATGGCTCAAAGGATTTCTTTCTTGTTGGAGCTTAAAGTTGAGACCTACTTAGTGCTACTACTGAGATAGATAAGCTTAAATCACTTATCAATGTGTGCTCCTCCGTTCCCACATTCTCATACACCGAGATTTATAGAGAGAGACAAATCTTAGAAAAAACTACTTTTAGATTGTTGTCAAGCAGATCTGGTAGGTATTAGAAGCAGCAAAGAACCTAGAAGAAAGAAAAAGCAACAGTAACCACTAAATTTAGCAGCTGTGCAAAGGGTGGGGTTTTTATCTTTGTTTTATCACTGGAGAGTCTGTTAATCCACATAGCTAATGTGACCTCATGATAATGTTGGGGGAGGGGACTGGATGCTAAGGTGTAGTGGAGCTTGGGAAAGATTGTGTTTGCTCTTGTGATTTGTGTTTAAGTGGATTGTCTTCAATCAGTCCTCAATTCTCAGGCTCCACTACTGATTAATTTGGTGAAATTGGATGCTTGGCGTCACTAGGTTACTCTCCTTATGTAATAATAAATTAATATGGCAATGAAGTTATTTTGTAACATTTTTTGAATGAGCTTTGTTGATAATCAGTTAATAACCAAGCAGATGGGTAGAAGATAATTTATATCAAGGCAGATGAAATTCTGATGTCTTCTGCTGTGAAGTGTCCTAAGACTAGAATACCATTAGCAACGAATTAAAGTACCTACTTCTTCCCTCTTTACAAGATTGGATCCTTTTAAGTGTGTTAGTGAAAGAGATTAGATTTCTGTATTATTTAGGCATAAGAAGACCATGGTTTTATAAAGAAGAAAATCAGCAGTATATGAAATTTAGGCATTTGTTTTTCACCTTGAACTTTCACTCATTGTAAATGACATTCACATTCAATCTCAGGTAACTGAGGACTTTTCTTGACTGATATTGAGAAAGGCCATTAGTTTTATGTAAAGTACTGCCTAAGATTAAAACACATTATGTATTCTGCTCTTTCTTTTTACTGTTTGTGTATAACCATCAGTGAATACTTGATACGACCAGAACATAAAGCAGTAGAGTGCAGGAAGTATCTCTTGAATGGGAATTGCACTGAAGATGACTCTTCTTTAGTCGAAAGATTTGCTTCATTTGAAATTACACTTTGTTTTGGTCTTTGAATTTAAAATTCTAATTCTAAGCCTATTGAGTAAAAGTAATTGAATAGCATAGATTTCTAAAGTAAGATTCACTACTGCATGTGACACAAAAAAGAATACTTAAAGGCTTAAGATCAAATGGTTTTGGTGTGAATGGGAGACAGGGATACATATGGAAGAAAACTGCATAAGAAACAAATACCCTTAGCCTGAGAGAAAAGAGACTTGATATTTTTGGTAAATTCCTATAAATTATAACATGGCTTTCCTCCCCCAATCATTAATTTCCATAGTGCAAACATTACTTTTCTACATTTACATTTTCACTAAAGTCAGCCTGGCGTTAATTTATTGGATTTTGAATAATCGTGGGTTGGTAAAGCAGAAAAAGTCCTACATGTGTACATTCATGTCTAAATTGGACCTTATTTGGACAAAATTTTTCAATGAAGTTAAAAGGAAACTTTTTTTTCTTAATAACTGAGGTATTTGAATTAAAATAGTCCATTTGCTTATTCACATGCAAATTTCTAAGGTTAGACACTACTTTGGGGACCTGGATTAATTGCTGTACTCAGATAAGAATGTTGTTTGGTTTTTTTTGGTTTTTTTTATCCTAATTCTAATGCTTTCAGTATTTAGTTCTTGAAGTTTGGGAATGTTTTTAAGAAACTGGATTATTAGTTCCTAAAGACCATGCTCTTCTTTTCTATTTCCAGTTGAAATTTTGAGCATCTCATGTCACTGTAACCACTTACTGAATTAGAGTTGTCTGCTGACATTTCTTCGTGTACACATTGAGACATGTTGAACTTTGATAGTCAAGAATCAATTGCCCTCACAGGATGATTACTATACATTCTCCAGAGAATGTCTCAGTTCTGTTTACCTTTACAAAAAATGTTGATTGAGCCCAGTTTGATTCAGACTGTGTGGGCTACAAAGACTTACGAACAACTAACTTTGGGTGCCATCGTTTCTAAATTCATCCCAGAAGTAGGAATATTCTCCCACTAGAGGCACTTAGGTTTGCATTTTACAACCAGAGAAGCCCATGACTCACTACTACCTTTAAGTTTCTGGAGAAAGACCTTTGTTGAAGTTTATCTTTAAAAAATATCTTTCATTGTACAAAAATGAATTTGGGCTTCTGTTTTTGTAATTGTTTTTCTCCCTCCGCCCTCCTCAAAAAAAAAAGTCACACTGATTTTAAGAACGTGTAGAGTTCGGCATTCATTGTTTTTTATTTGACATTCCAAGAACAAATTAATTTGATTAGAGTTAGAATTAAAAATTCTATGTTTTTCTTCCATTATTTAACACCTGTGCAGTTCTAGTTAATTATAAGTAATTCTTTGGTAGTGAACCTATTAGTAGCAGATATTTAACTGCCTTTATTTGCAGTTTGACATCCTTTTACAAGCGTACTGATGATATAAATTGGCTTAGAATTGATAATTAATCTTCCTTCTTATTCCTTTGATATTATTCTTAATGTTTAGCACTATGCTTTGTACTCTCAGTGGAGTTCATGACTGTCTTCCTTACTAGATACTTAGTATCTTTAGAACTAAGAATTGAGTTTCACTGATGTTTGTATTTATGTTGAGAGCCTTAGTCCATACTTGGTAGGTGATAACAATTTCTTTAGCTATTTGGAAAGCTATAATGAAGCATCAGTTTATAAACAATTACAGCTAGAAAAATTTATTTTCCTTAGACATCTGTTTCAGCACTCAATTCAGTTCAGCCCTTTACCTACAGCAGTTGCTTTTATTAGAGCTAAGTGTAAATATTTCTGTGTTTTGTTGCATTTCGGAATGAATGGAGCAAATATTGCCATTAACCACAACCTCAGCAGAGTGTGTGCACTTCAGATACGAATTTATTCATTGGATGCCATTTGGAATTTTTGTGGTCCTTTTCTCTCCTGCCTCTGTAATTCCACTGTTTAAAAGATGTACCTTTAAAGTAATGCTTCTCCCACACACATAAACACACTTTCTATAACTTTTTTTCTTAAAGAAAAATAAATGTAATATGAGATTTTAACTGGAACTCAGCTGGTCTTGTATGTTCTATTTTTAGTGAAATGGTTGCATTGGGAGGTCTTATTAAGGCTTATTAAACCTAAATTTCACAAGTGTTTATCTTTGTTACCATCACAGAGAAGGGATAAGCTTTGAGACTTGGCTGCAGAAACTGATGTGCTATCTCCTGTTCCAACCGCTGCTTTGAGGCCCCCTTCTGATTTAGCATAGGATAAACTTTTGAGCGCCTCACAGCTCTTAATTTAGACAGGTGGATGGAATTTACTTTGATTTTATAACCTCATTTTCCTAAGTGTATTGTTTTTCCCAGATATATCTCATACCACTTACCAGTAACAGCAGCTCCAGTGTCACAAAGTGATTTCTGTAGCACAGTCTGGCAATTCAATGAGTGTCACCATATAGTCCATTTCTCCTCTAACATCATGGGGTCTTTTGTTTGTTTTATGTTTTGTTTTAAATGAAACTGGAAAAGCTCATTTGAAAACTTCTAATATTTTACTCACATTTGGTTTCTTTGACCTTTTTATGATAACCTAAATTTTATTGTTGTATTTGAAGTTTTGTAACCCTACTTAATTTGAAAAGCTATTTAATTTTAATGTCTTTTTCCTACCTCTTGATAGAATGCTATAGATAGGAAATTATAAAGTACAATGTTTGCCATTCACTTGAATTAAATTAGTTATTGGAGCATTTAATTGTCATGTACTTCACAAAGCAATTTAAAATCATTGATGCAATTAATGTTTTGAGATATAGTCAACCTTCCAGTTAAGAAACCTCTACCTAGGATCTTAAATTAATTACAAATATTAAATCATTTATTTTATATCTAAGGCAGTTCAAATAATGTATCATAAGTCCTTTAGCATATAATAACAGCAAATTGTTACAAAACCATAATTCTTAGAGCCATATAAAAATTGTGTATTGTTTGTTTTGGGTAACTCAGGAAGCTTAAAAAAATACGAGGCTTTGTGCATAAGGTGCATACATTAAATGTCAGGAAAGTCAGTTTTCTGTATTTCAGTGTTTCTGTGTGTTTTTTTAAAATTTACTTTTTTGTGGTACTGAGGTTTGAACTCAGAGTTTTATGCTTGCTAGGCAGGCTCTCTACCACTTGAACCATGCTTCCAGTCCTATTTTTTTTTTGGCAGGGAGTGGTGGTAGTGGTGGTAATGGTGTTTGAACTCAGTGCCTCGCTCTCACTAGGCAAGTGCTCTGTCGCCTGAGCCATGCCCGTAGCCCTCTGTTCTTTTTATGTAAGTAATAGCTAATTATGATTTTTAAGATATAACAGCAGATAGTTAGTAATTAGTGACATAAAATCAAACATTTTGGAAGAGATAGAAATTTTATACTGAATTATCTTAAAGGCAAAAATTTACTCACATGTACCCCCCAAAAAAGTTTAAGAATTTAAAAAATAACTTTAAAATGTGCATCGTTTTCAGCTGCAAATTTTAGGCAAAATGATATGAAAACAATTGAGTTTGTTTCTTTAGAGGGGAGTAGTCCTTTGGTTTTTGTGTAGAGGCCCAGCGCCCTCAGGGATTTGCCCTGGTGATTACTCTTATGCTTGCTGTGAGACAGACAAGCAATGTACTGGTCAAGATATCACATTCCAGTCCAAGGAAGGAAGAATGGGGAATGTATCTTCCAAACAGGTAATAAAAGCTTCCAAAAGACCTCCAGGAATTGCCCACTGTCCACTTAATGGTCAGTGTCATATGGCTGACCCTACCTACCTTTAAGAGATGTGTTATCAAAGACTTCTGGTGGATAGAGGAGAATAAAGGTTTGAAAATGAGTTTTGGTTAACTGTGTATGGTTTCAGCCAGACTGGTGGTGAAAACCACATTAATTTCGAAATTAAATTTTATTCCTGCTCATTCTTACCAATTTGGAGCCTTTTCTGGGGGAGAGGGAGAGTTGTTAGCAAACCCTGTCTTTCCCACACCAAGTTTTCAGTTGCATAATTATCACATTTCAAGTCCCTGGGCAAAAGCAGTCCTCAGAGACTGATTGATGGTGTTTTAGCCAACAATGAATTTCGTACTTTTTCCTGCTCTTTCCATTGAAGACATTTTCTGTAAAACTCACTGATTGTATTCTAAATCTACTTTAAACCTGAATATATTCAAGAATCTGTATAGACTGCATTCAAGAATATCGGTCTGAAGCTGGGTGTGATGGTGCTCTCTTGTCATTCCAGCCATGCAGGAACCATAAATAAGAGAAGGGAGGTCCAGGCCAGACCTGGCATAAACACAAGACCCTATTTGAAAAATAATGAAAGCAAAAAAAAGGGCTGGGGATGTGGATCAAGTGGTAGAGTACCTGTCTATCAAGCTTAAGACTGAGTTTAAATCCCAGTACTGCCCCCTTCCCAAAAAACAATATGGGTCTAATGCAGATGAAAGAAAAACTGAACATTAGGATTCCTTTTAAGATTTCCTTAACTACCTGGAGAAGCAAAATAAGCCATTGTTCCCTAAAGGGAAACTTCCTGTAAAAATCTGTCATCATAGAAGATGAAGATGGTGTTACCCATTTCTAAAATGTGAAAAGTACTATCAACATCTATAGAGTGATTATAACCTAAATATGACTCATTCATACAATGACACATCTTGGGCTTACAGTTTTGATGAATTACATATGATTCCATCAGAGAGGAAACTCTGAGGAGAAAATTGAAACAGATAATGGAAACAAGTAATGCTTCTTTCCCCTTGCATTAAAAAAAAGTCATTATCAAAAATATTGACCAGGAAATTTTGACTATTATACTTGTTTTTTCATTTTTAATCAACATCTTTCCCAATTTTTACCTTTTTATCATGTTCCAGATATGTTCACATGTAAATTTATGGGCTTTTCTACAGTCAATGTGTAGTGCTTTATCTCCATAAGGAGATAAAGCAAAATATATAGCATCATTTACTTCGTGTTGTAATCTTTTGTCACTATATTTAACAGAAGACATCAAGATACATTTATGTAAAAAGAAGCATATGTGATAATAAAGGAAGGCTGTGAAGAAAAAGTAAGGTAGTGTGGTATGTTGGCTGATTGTAGGGGATGGCAAACTATGGCCTACTGGCATACAACCTCCTTTTGTAAAAAAAATTTTATTAGAATACTCTATGCTCATTCTTTTGCATATTGTTAAGGCTGTGTTCTTGCTACAACAGTAGAGTTGTTTCAATGGGATGAAGAACAGATGGTCAACAAGCCTGAAATATTTCCTGTCTGTCCCTGTTAAAAAAAAGTTTGTCAACCACTGGCTGAGTATCCACTCTGTAATCAGGTAAAACTGCATTCAAAATTTTGTTCAGTAATTTCTGTCTAGATGATATTGTATATGTTAAATCTCTCAAAATCTTAGTTTCATGATATACAACTTGACTCAAAAGGTGTTTATGTTGATGAGATTGCATAGTACTTAACAATAGTTAACGCTTATTAAATGCTGTTTTATTCAACATTTTATTTTATTGTTACCATTTTATATGAGCTATAACTTTTGGTTCAAATAGGTGTTAGAAACTCTAAACTTCCCACATCCTCCTAAAATAAGTGTTCAGGAAAATAGGGTATAAGACTTAAAAGCATATTGAATATTATGGGAGACCATGCTAGTCAGTTTTAAAAACTGAGATACTTTCTTTTTTTTCTTTTTCTTTTATTCATATGTGCATACAATGTTTGGGTCATTTCTCACCCCTTCCTCCCACCCTCTCCCTTAACCCCCCACACCCTCCCTCTCCCCTCCTACCCCCTCACTACCAGGCAGAAACTATTTTGCCCTTATCCCTAATTTTGTTGAAGAGAGAGTATAAGCAATAATAGGAAGGACCAAGGGTTTTTGCTAGTTGAGATAAGGATAGCTATACAGGGAGTTGACTCGCTTTGCTTTCCTGTGCATGTGTGTTACTTTCTAAATTAATTCTTCTCGAACTAACCTTTTCTCTAGTTCTAGTCCCCTTCTATTGGCCTCTGTCGCTTTAAAGTATCTGCATTAGTTTCTCTGCATTGAGGGCAACAAATGCTATCTAGTTTTTTTTTTGGTGTCTTACCTATCCTCATACCTCACAAGTGTGCTCTCGCTTTATCATGTGATCAAAGTCCAATCCCCTTGTTGTGTTTGCCCTTGATCTAATGTCTGCATATGAGGGAGAACATATGATTTTTGGTTTTTTGGGCATGAGATACTTTCTTAGAACTTAAAGAAAAATGGTATTTAAAAGTGAATCGCATTACTGCCAATATTACAGAAAGAAAAAGGATTACTAGGAACTACTGTTAATGGGGAATACTTTACTAATAATACTAAAGGATTTTTATGGCAGCAAATTAGATAACCTAGATAAAATAGACAACTTGAAATATACAAACTACTAAAACCAACTTGAGAAATAGAAAATCTGAATAAAGGCTCAAAATAATGCTAAACAAAATAGTATATATTTAGCAATAGTTGACCGTGGCCAAATAGGCTTTCTCCCAGAAAGGCCAGTTGGTTTAACATGAAGTTCAGTCAATATAATGTGCCATATAGATACAATAAAGGACACAAGATCATCTCAATAAATGAAAAATATTTGACAAAATCCATCCACATGCTTTCATAATGAAAACCTTTAACAAAGTAGGAATAGAAAGAAATTCCCTGAAACTGTTAGTGGTCATCTAAAAAAAAAAAATTCACAGTGAATATTTAATGATGAAAAGCTGCATATGTCCCTTTAAAATCAGGATATCTACTCTCACAGTTTTATTCAACATTGTACTAGAGGTTCTGCCCAAGGTAGTTGCAGCTGTCTCAGTACTGTATTAGAGAAAGAAATAGAAAGTATCCTGATTTGAAAGAAAAAGCTATGTCTATATATACTGATGAAATGATCTTGTGTACAGAAAATTCTGAAGATACACTCACACACAAAAAACTGTTAAAATTAATAAATGCAGAAAGGTAGGATACAAGATCAATATAAAGAAATCTGCTGTATTTTGTACACTAGCAGTAAATATCCAAAAATTTAAAAATTAAATATCCATTTGTAGTAGCTTCAAAAACAATATAATTATTAGGAACAAATTTAACAAAAGAAGTGCAAGACTTGTACACCAAAATCTTATACAAAAGACTTGTATACAAACATTACTGAAAGAAAGAAGACCTAAATTTAAAGATACCTTTATGGATTAGAAGACTCTATATTGTTAAAATGGTAGTATTCTCTAGATTAGCCTACAGATACGATGCACCAAAATGCTGGTTTTCACAGAAATTGATAAATAGATCTTAAAACCTAGTGGAAGCACAAGGAACCCAGACAAACTGTATTAGTGGAATAGAATTTAGAGTCCAGAAACAAACCTTTGTATTTAGGATCAATTAATTTTTTTACAAACTGTCAAGATGGGGAATATAATGGAGGAAGAATAGTCTCCTAATAAGGGACTGAGACAGCTGGATTTTCACCTGCAAAAGTATAAAGTGAGACTCTGCCTCACACCATATGCAGAAACATATTGTGGGCCTAAATGTAAGAGCTAAACAGAAGTAAACTGTTGTTACCTTTGATTAGGATTAGGTTTCTTAGTTAAGACACCAAAGCACAGGTAGTAATAGTCAATAAATTGGACTCCATCAAATTTAAAGCTTTTATTTATCAAAGAACAAAATCAAAAAGTAAGAAGCCACAGTATGAGAGAAAATATTTGCAAATCAAATATTTGAGAAGAGACTTATATCTAAAATACATAGATAACTCTTACAATTCATAAAAAGATAAATAACCCAATTAAAAATAGTCAAAGGATTTAAATAGCCATTTCTTTCTCTAAACAATATATAAAAATAGCCAATGAGTGCATGAACAGATACCCAACATCCTTACTCACTAGGGAAATGTAAATCAAAACCACAATGAGAAACTGCTTCACACCCACTAGGCTTGCTAGTCAGAAAAAGAGACAATAACAAATAGAGGTAAGAATTTGGAGAAATTGAACACCTCATACATTCTAGGTGGGATTGTAAAATGGGCAGCCTCTTTGGGAAACAGTTTGGCCATTCTTCAAAATCTTAACCACAAAGTTAGCATATAATCTAGCAATTCTTTTTAAGCATTATGCCCAACAATATTTTTTTTAAAAAGACAAGTTCACATGACTATTGAAAGCAGCATTGTTCATAATAGTCAGAAGAGAGAACACCCAAGGTCCATCAACTGATGCATGGAAAAACAATACACTGGAATATTATTTGACCATTAAAAACAAAGAGGTACCAGTAGATCCTACAACATGGATTACTCTTGAACACATGCTAAGTAAAAATGACAGCTACAGTAGGCTACATTTTATATGAAATATCTAAAGTAGGCAAATCCATAAAAGACAAAAATTAGTGTCAAGGTACAGAGGGAAGTGGGAAGGGACTGCAAACAGTTATGGGGTTTCTTCCCACAGTGATGAAATGTTC